GGAAAGCTGCAACGTATGTGTTCTGGCCACGTGCGGGTTGTTCCGTTTGTTTGTAAAAGAAGGGACGAGTCAGCCACCCCACAGCAATCCTATGGCTAACCGAGTATAACCAAATATATATATATGTATACATGAACACATATACATGAATACACATATATATACCACCGAGGAGCGATGTACATTCTGAAGCAGTTTACCGCTCCTAGACTGTACAAAGCTTAAACGGTGGATATAAAACAGGATAGAAATATATTACCATTATAAACTGTATAAAACGACTTTTCATCTGATGGAACCTCTATTTATATACCTAGCCATCCAATGAAATGCCTTCTTTCATTAGCCAATCAAAACTACTCTTAATTCCTAATTACAAAGAAATAACTAAAGCAAGTCTATACTAACGATCATTTATTGAACAATGTAATTAACAAAGAATCAACCGCTTCACTACCAAATTTTAGAATTCATTTTCTAGCATCGAAACAGATTTTTAGCCCACAATTATCTGATGGTGGGCGATTCAAATTGCCCTGCGGTGGTCGTCCTTCCGTCCGTAGTCCGTCCTTAAACAATTCTTGTTATCGTTATTTCTCAGGAAGTACCAGAGGAATCTTTCTCAAATTTTATACATAGGTTCTCCTTGTTCCCTAGTTGTGCAGGGCAACTTTTGAGACTGATCGGATAAACAACATGGCCGACAGGCAGCCAATTTGGATTTTAATAGTGAAGGTTTTGTTATCACTAATTCTCAGGAATTACCAGAGGGTTCTTTCTAAAATTAAATATGTAGGTTCCCCTTGTTCCCTAGTTGTGCAGGCCAACTATTGGGACTGATGGGATAAACAACATGGCTGACAGGCAGCCATCTTGGATTTTGATAGTGAAGGTTTGTTATCACTATTTCTCGGGAAGTACCAGAGGGATCTTTCTCAAATTTTATATGTATGTTCCCCTTGGTCCCTAGTTTTGCAGGTTGACTTTTTGGACTGATGGGATAAACAAAAAGGCCAACAGGCAGCCATCTTGGATTTTGACAGTGAAGGTTGTTATCACTATTTCTCAGAAAGTACTGGAGGGATTTTTCTCAAATCTGATATGCAGGTTTTCCTTAGTCCCTGGTTGTGCAGGTTAACTTTTGAGACTGATCAGATAAACAAAATGGCCAACAGGTAGCCATCTTGGATTTTGAAAGTGAATGTTTGTTATCGCTGTTTCTCAATAAGTAGTGGAGAGATCTTTCTCAAATCTTATTTGTATATATATAAGGTTCCATTAGGTCCTAAGTTGTGCATGTTTAATTTTGAGACTGATCCAATAAACACAATGGCAGACAGGCTTCAATTTTTGACATTGAAGGTTTGTTAGTACTATTTCTCAGGAATGAATAACTTGAGGGATCTTTCTCAAATTTGATATATATAAGGAACCCCTTGAACCCTTGTCTGACTGATCATAAAAACAAAATGGCTAAAGGAAGAACTAAACAGATCTTTCTCATATTGCAATGATCAATTCTATTTCTTTCACATTAACTACTGGACTAGTATATATGTGAAATGACAAACTCACTTTGAAGGTTGTCTTTTATACGAAGCATTATTAAGTTTAGATCAAAAGTTACATCAAGGTGCATTTACTGTTAACATGACTCGATCAAACAGATTAGTGAAAAGAAGAGAAAAGATCGAACTGACAAAGAACTCATGAAGATGGTACAGTTAGAATTACGCCCAAGTATCCACCTAGGTTCAGTTCGTGTTGCGTGCGGTTAGCGGTAGTCTAGCGTCTAGAAAGCGATCGTTCACCGTTCGAGCACCATTCGTCTGTTTCGTTCGTATCAGCTAAATCGTTCCGTTCGGTCATTTCGACCGTCCCTATCGTCCAATAATTCATTGGGTCGTTTAGTTCAGCTACTTCGTCCGGCTGTTCCGTCCGCCCGTTCAGTTCGTTGTCTACTCCGTCTTTTTGGGTTAGGATGCGCACACAGTTAATCAATTCACTGAGGCAAATGGCAGAACTGCAGAAGATCTCACGCTTATATCCAAAATTACGAACCTCAATTACCAGATACAGTGACAAAGGCTACGCTATTAGAAAGATCAGTAGAAAAAATTGGAAGAGACAAACAACTTCACAGTAACACGGAAGACGGTGCGGCTGTGTATACGCAGATACAGAGAGACCGGATCCATCAGCGACGGGTTCGACGATTTACAGGAACGGGCAGGAACGGGCAGAAATGGGCAGGAACGGGCAGAAATCTATTAATTATTATATACATTGATGGATATTTTTATTAGATATATTTAAGTATCATTATCGGGTATAAGATATACATTATCGGGCAGAATCGGACTAAATTATATATATACATTTAGG